TAGGGGTGAGAGCATTAAAATTCCGACTTTACTTATTTTGGACCACCCTATTATACACCCAACTAAATAAAAACTCTCTTTAAAGCATCATGTATGTACGTATGTTCGTAAATATTTGTCTATTTGCAAATTCCATTCCATTTATTGTGCGCATTCAACCGAAATAATATTTTAAATTATTTTCTAAATTCAAACAGCTTTAATATGCCATCGTGTGAGTTTAATGTGGTGAAATGTATTGGTGTCCGGACGTGGTGTGCAAAGATTTATTGTTCAGATTACAATAAACAGATTCTATCTTTATTTAAGCAAATCGGAAGTAAAGATCTTAGTTTTTATTATCCTAAAAAATCTGCCTTACAGAAGTGACCTCCGAATTCGATGATTTAAAATAAAAGATAATATGAGTTTGTACATATGTTAATACATATATTAAGAAAGCAACTAGTCGATGCAGAAATCTAAGCATTTGTTAAACTACATAAGTATTGAGACAATTTTTATTTTTTTCTTGTATGTATTTCAATGAAGCGCGGGTGTGTTACTGTTTTATGCTTTTAACATTTCTATTAATATTTTATCTTTCTTGTCATTCCTAACATTTCAAAGAGATATCAGGAAAATAGAGCTTTAATTCTCTTTCAAATTTGTTTGTATTTGAAAAGCTTTTCACCCCACAGCTTAGCACGGAACAGGATTTGTATGGTAAAGCTTATTAAGCGCTCTTACACGATATGTATTTTCATATGTAAATGCTACTTTTCTGATACGTTCCAATATATGGTACATACGAGTAGATACAAAAAAGTAGCAGTTACATATGCAAATACACATCGTGTAAGAGCGCTGTAACGAAGCAACACATTTGCTAGTTGACGACCTTACAAAGAGTGTGTATGCAAAGTTTCAAGTGAAATGTTGCACCAGTGTTTATAAACAGGCATGGTATACAAGTTAGGGTAATGTTAAGTATTATGTATAAATTTTATCAAGAAACAATGCTTTACAAAGGACACGTAAAAAGCTTGTCGTTTACGTATGAATACGGTGGCCATCGATGTTATTATCATTTTTTCCTTAATTTTCCTGGTAATTTACATATTTATTTTATAAGGAGCGCCATATGTTCTGTATTTCTGATCTGCATTTGTCCTGTAATCAGTGCTCGGTATTTCGACGCCTTAAGAGCTTATAAAAATGGCATGCAGATGAATCGAAATTTACCCCGTAAGCAGTTGTAATTTTTAAATCCGAACACTTGTGACTTAAATCGATAACCACATTCTGAGGTTATAATTTCGCTTATTAAAACTTGGTACTTGTGAGTATAACAATTAGACGTTAATGATTACACATACATATGTATGTGGGGGAAAAATTGCCGAAGCTAAATTCGCCTTAGTATCGGGTTTCGATACGAGTATTTTTTTTTCGATGCCTTCTCAGTACTTGATTCAAAAGTATCGATACCAAAATTATTGTATGTATTTGTATTTACTCGTATAGTTTCATCCCTAATAAGGATGATGTTTCAGGGCTAATAAATAAAGGATCATTGAAGAAGGTTTTAAGATCTCTTAGCAATTGTGGGAAAAATTTGCGAAATAAATAAACTATAGAGATATATGGTGAACGTATATATGCACATACAGTGGCGGTCAAAAATGGATGAATGGTGTTTAGTTTTAAATATTTAAGATGTTTTTCAAGCTATAATTTTTTTTTGATATTTTTTTATAAAAACGTAGTTCATGCTTAATGAAAAACTATATAAATCACACTTTCACACTTTATACAGAACTTTTCGAGCATTTTAACCAAAATTTTTAGAAAGTTTTGAGTACGCAGTTAACAAGCTTATAAAATTCTAGTAAAATGAGTGCAAGTTTTGAGCGGCCATTGCGGTTTTTTCATATAAATAGCGAAATTTAGTAAAACTGGCATTGACTTCTGTATTTTTTTCGCAAATGGTCCTGCGAATATTCTTCCACAAGAAATTCATGTTAATATGAAAAAAGTTCTTTGAAGCATGATGTAAATATTAAAAACGAAACACAATTCATCCATTTTTGACCGCCACTGTAGATATGTCATACAAAATTATGAGCTTGTTGAGCTATAAAATATCCTCAAATGTTTCTAATCACTTCCTTTTCCTATAAATGCAGCTGGTAACACTGCTAAGCTTTTTGGCACAGAAGTAAAGTTTTACTATAGTACACACAGTGAAAACTGCGGCAACATTTTAAGGCTGGCGATATTTGTTGCAGAGCTTTAAATGGACAAACTTAAAAACGTAATTGCTCAGAAAAGTTAGCAAACCAAAAAAATTTTAAGTTCATTTTGTTCCAATGGCATGTTTACTCTAAGTGCCGTTTCCCCCTTTCAGGGTTACAGTTAACCAACAGGCGGATTTCCGGCTGAAAGTGTGTATATAGGAGACGGTTTCATACATTCTATGCCAGCAAACGGGTAGCCGGCTGACCGGCAAACGAAATATCCAAAATATGTAGTATTCTTATCTCTTCGATGAATGCATCTGACTGGAGGCCATCAGAGTTCTTGGCATTAAGTTGGATAAAATTTGTCGGTTTTTCATTAACTTAAAAATTCCAAAAAATTAGGTCGCTTATTGGTTGAGAACTTAAAGTTGCGCATTGCGTGAAATCGCGAAAGCGGCTGGAAGAGATTTAGTACCGGGAACTGATTCCCTCTTAGCGGGCCTGGCTATGGGTCATACTTTTTAAATTATTCTTCATAGTAAAATGTATACATCTTTAAATAGTGAATTGGGTACTATTAATGATTAAGTAAACAAGTAATTTTTAAGCAAAAAAAAAACTGACTTCAAATCTCATATACAAATTTAGGAGTATCGTTATTTTTTCATGATCCAATGATCGGATCTAAACCAGATTGGTATGGGATCACCTCTGAGACACCGCCTTTCCGATACAAAAATCGGTTGACGTGGTCCAAAGTTATGCCGTAACATACATACAAAAAAGAATATATATATTCCGACGAATTGATAACCTCCTCCTTTTTTTAAGTCAGTTAAAAATACAGACAAAGATCAAAATTGAGATTAAGGAGAAGATGAGGGGAAGAGAACAAATGAGGAAGATAAATATGCGGGGAAAGTTAAAGACGAAAGTAAAAACAAGGGTGAAGGTGAAAGTGAAAAGAAGGGTTAATATGAAGCTGAAGATGATGACAAAAATAATAAATCAGGGTGAAGCTGAAACTGAAGGTAATGACGAATACGAAGATGAAGATGAAGTAGAAGAGGAAGTTAATGGTAAAGATATAGACAAAGGTAAAGATGAAATTAAGATTTGATATTTACTTTGAGATTAAGGCTTGGGTAATGTTTCAAAAAACCATAAGCAAAGCAAGCAGCTTATCATAAAAAGCGAGAGTAGAAATAGTAAGAAGTTTTTGTAAAAAAGTTACAACTAAATAAATTCTGTGTTCGTATGGAATAGTAGCCTATGCCGAAAGGCTGGCTTTAGTAAATTTTTTCTATAAAGTTTCACTTCTGCGCGTAGGAACTACATGCACTCAGTTTTTTTCTTTCCTTTTTGGAATGCGTATATCTAATGTTGAAATTAAAGTACAAATAACTGTTCTGTTTGTTACCAAAGTACTTTAACCCTTTCCCAAAATGCACTTTTTCGAGCGGCAAGTAACGCCAATTGCACAAATTGAGTTCGTTTGTGTGTGCTGTAATCGTTGCCAAGAGACTCTTAACACCGAAGTGACATTTCGAAATGACCAATGGAGCTGCTTTACTTAATTGTTGGAGGAACTTGCATGTTCATACGCTGTTGCACTTTGACATATGTATGCACTTGTACATTTTTCTGTAAAACATACATGTGTACAAACTAAGTGGCGCCATGTTGTGTTAAAAATTGACTACGCGCAAAATTGTTTGCGATCGAAGACTGGAACTAAAAAGTAGTGCGGTGCACAGTGGTTCAAAACTGGAATTTAATGTTTCTAATTCACTGGAGCCTTAATTTTTCAACAAATTTGATAAGTTATTTTGAAATGAAAGTTTATAAAATTAGCAAGAGACCAGTTGAGCCCGATTTTTAAATTTTTATATGTTTTAAGAGAATCGATTCTCCTGTTCCAGTTAATAAAACTAAAATAATAAAAAAATTAAAAATAATTGTTGGGTTACCCCAAAACAAAAAAAAAAATCACTAGAAAAATTTTAAATGTTATAAAAAAAAATTTCACCAAAATTAAAAATCAAAGCGAACTTTTTGCTCCATGTAGCGTGCACGTTATTATATCAAAATTTCATAAACTAAAGCACTGCATACCCAAACTTTTTCTAAGACCTAAAAAAAAATTATAATTTTTGGTGAAATTTTTTTTTAAATATCCCAAATTTTTCTTTTGTTCTGGGAGGATCCTACTATTGTTTTAAGCTAGTTCTTATTATGTAACATTTATTAACCGAAACAGAAGCAACGATTTTCTTCAAAATTGCTGTTTTCAAAATTCAATGCAATCAGGCAATAAAGAATCGCGCTCAAATGATATCTTGCAAATTTTAATTTAATTTAAATTATTCAAATTGAGTGAAAAATTAAGGCTCGAGTGAACAGTAAATGTCAGTTTTGGACCACTGTGCGCTATGGCTTTGGCGCCATTGAACAAATTCACAAAGCAATCATTCTCATTGAAAGTAAATGACAGCATTTTTCGCTGCCAACAATTCTGCTGCACATTTCAAAAGTCAATACCAATTATGATAGCTGCTGTCGCCACATTGCAAAGAGTTAAGTAAACAGAACTAGTATTATGACTAAACGTAATTAAACGAATGTAAAATGCTGAATTTTATCTACCGAAGAGCATTTTGCCCAAATATTTATTATATTAAAAAAAAAAAATGTTTAAAGAGCGCGAAATCTCATTGCATATTTGAATAATGTTATGATCATATTTAGGAATCCAAAAGTTTTACGACAACCAGCATACATTTAAATTATTCATTTTGCCATTTTATTATTCACTTGTTGCTAAATAGTGAACGCCATAATCCAGTCGAGAAATTTAGCTACATCTGCGTAGATGACATACTGATTGCTGATGCATTTGTTCTGCTTGGATGGCAGTGTCGCCGAAACTGTGCCACGCAGCAGCCACCGATTGTTTCGTTTCAACAACAATCCAGCGCCTGAGTCGCCAGTGCACGGCCCCACGCCCGTTCGCTCGTCAACAGCTCGAGAGGTCAACTGGCCACGTTGCAACCTGGTCAAACCTGCGCAAAAAGTACGATTGGAGGTGAGGCTATGCAATTGTGGTTGTGATGCGAAACACATTTCGTTCGACACAATAGACGCTTGGATAATGCGCGGCACTGCGGCTATAGCGGGTCTGCTACCCACAAACGCGCTGTCGCTGTGCATTTTTGTAATACCCCAGCCTACAATTAAGCCACGTTCACCAATAATATATTCGAGTTCGACGGCGCCACTCCACAGACACGCCGGACGTATGTAGGTGTTGAAGCTGACAATAAAAAGGAAAAGTACAAAACATACAAAATGAACATCGATTTTAAGATATGTATTTCGATCACTCACCGCACTTGATGCTTCAACACCAGCACCGCTATGTCCGCATCGTAGGTGCCCAGTGCGGCATCATAGTCGGGGTGTAGGTAGATCTCACTTACTGGCGCTGCTATTGAGTGCTCCTCATTCCAATTTCGTAGATTATGGCGCCCAAGAAAGACAAGCACCTCGTTGGCTGTGTAGCGTTGCTTATGCAGCCGGAAGCAATGTGCTGAACTTATGACCACACGCGAGGACACCAAGGTGCCAGCGCACTGATAAGCCAACGATGTTAAATTATTCACGTAAATTGCGGCCAACCATGGCCAGGCGCCGCGTGTAAGTACTGTATTTGGCGGCAAAGTGGTCAACGTACTGTTGGTGTCAACGAAATGAGTGGTATTTTGGGGCAACATGCCAGCGGTTGCAAGCGGTGGTATGCTGGGTCCAAACATGTTGACTTTGACTTTACTCATTTGCGCTGAGGTGGCAGACGCTAGTTTATCCATTGCGGTGCGCTGTTGCTTTTGCTCATTTGGGTGTGTTGCAAGTGGTCTGGCATTGTGATCGGTCAATTTTGAAGCGCTTAACTGCGAGCGGGAACGTATGCGCACGTCTATTTTGCCACAAATGCTTTGCATTGATGTATGTTTGGGAGGGGGGCTGAAATGAAGCGAGTGGGATTTTATTCATGAATTGAATCAAAGTCTGAGGAAAGGCTCTTTGTTAGCTCCAAAAATTTTTTAGTAAGATATTTTTGACGTGGAAGGAGTTTGATTTCGATGTACTTGAATGCAAGCACTGTCTCCTTATTGACCTTCATTGGATGGAACGAAAAGCAGAATACTGTTTGTTGGCACAAGCACTGCTGTGTTGAACATTGAGAGAAATTTGGAAATTTCAATATCCTGACTATATTTTGTAAAGATTACCATAATCGAAAAACAAGTAATTTTTAAGCAAAAAACCAAACCGACTTTAATTGTCATATAAAAATTTAAAATTATCGTTAATTTACTAGAAAAACATTGCGAATAAAAAAAAATTAACACGCGAACACCAGTGTGAGTCACTGCATATGTAAATATAACAAAAACAATTTCGGTGAATAGATTGACAATATTTTGATTATTAGATAGATAAAAAATCAAACTATCTATAACGATATCCGTGTTAGAAAAATTTCAAATTTTAACGAAACTACGCATGAGGATGACGCGCACAGAGATTCATAAAAAATTAGCAGTTTGTCTTAGTTTTGAAATTATAGAAAAATAGGTAAAAAAGATATTAAATGACCATTACGAAAAGATTTAGTAAACCAACGAATTTAATCTGAACAGTGAAACTGTCGCGATTCCAGGGCTGTTGCAGGGATTTTTGATACATTTTAAAACCTCCCAAAAAAGTATGGGTAGTGTTTAAAAAAAAAACTCCATCGTAGCGTTTTTTAATACAACAACTAATTATCGATTATTTTTTTACACTCATACCTAAGCTCCTCTCCACTTACATTTCAGCGTGTGCGCTTGACGAATGTTCCGCATTAAATTTCGTATCGGTTGCTATGAATTGAATGTCATCATCTTCCTCTTCATCATCATCCATCAACGTAGCAGCAGAGAATTGTGCGTCTTCCGGTGCTGTGTCTGACGGCTCATCATCTCCGATGAATGTAAATTTTCTAGTATGTTCAAGTTGAATTTGTGTCACGAATATGCTGTGATCTACAAGGAATAATTTCAAATCTATTTATTATACACTGTCGAGCAGCAATGAATATTCAATTAATAAACGTATTCAAATAAATGTATGCAAGAGTGTACCTGCTTGACCTAAACAAATTATGTGATTATTTGCGGTCACCTGCAACACTTTAGGCGGAAAATGCGTTCGTGGGAACTTGATTTTATAGAGAACGGGCGCATCGCTGTGATATTGGCCACGCGATAGCAATTCGATTTCACCAAGGTAATTCTGCAAGGACAATAGCAGTAATTATTTTATTTGCATTCACTTATTTCACAGATTACTTACCGTCGTTGGCTTTCCACGCATGGAGAGTGTCACTTTGACTTGCAAAGCTTCGCTTGGGTCGGGATTATGCACGGAAAGCACACCAAACCACTCAGCGCCGTCGAAGCGGTACTGGAAGATTTTCGGACACGGACTTATGGGTATGCCTTGCGAAGAAACTGGATTAATGTGCTGTAGAATGCAGATGAGTATGGTGGCAATGTGTAAATTCATTTCAAGTTAAATCAGTCGATTTTGTTTTCTAAACTATTCTTGAATATAGAGTTTGTTAGGTCATTTTGAAGAGCTAAACAGAGAGCTGATGCTGCTCAATAAGTATGCACTTTTCTATAATTAATTATTTTATTGTTCATTGCGTCTCTAATTAGGCGAGTTTACTGCCGGGATATAAACATTCTTTGCTTCTATTAATTCCACAACTTTGACATTCGTTGTTATCTCCCCGCTCGCATTCAACATCTCAGTTTTTTCTAAGTTGACAGGCAATTATTGTTTTTACTACTCGGTAGTTGTTGCTCTTTTTTTGCGAACTGTTTTGTGCACTTCTTTGTCAACATTTGTTTTTGGTGTAGTTGTAGACAATGTAGAGCAACAAGTGCAAGCTTAATGAATAAGTAGTATTAGATAGCTCTGCGTTTGAACAAACAAACAAACGTACATACAAATGTTAACATTTCTTGAGAGTTCCTGTTATCAACTTCTATTTACTTCGCTTCTTTAATTTTTAGCGCCTTGTTTGTTCTTGCTCTTTTCGATCTCAATTATTTTTATTTGATCTTCTGTAGAACTTAGTAAGGGGAAGGCGGAAATTTCTCTCGAGCAATGGTGCAGTCACATGAACCTCTATTATTAATTATTTTGTCTCTTTCAGCTCAGCAAAAAATGAGTACGAACAGTGCTTCACACTAGTTTTTAGACAGTTTACTAATGTGGATCAGAGTCGATGCAGGGGTGCAGGACACTGGAAATATTATTCTACACATTTGAAGATAACGAATAATGCCAAGTAAGGAAAAATAAGAGGAAAGTGGGCGGGAGTGCTACCTGTGGCAATTATGGCTTCGAAACATTTACACCACCCTCTCTATAGTCCCAACTTAGCCATTCCAGATTATTGTTTAACCCAAAAATTAAAAAAAAAAAACAAATAACTGTTGGCGGTTTTCGTCTAATACTAATGATTTATGGGTATTTTGAAGGTGTAGACAAATTGTTATTTTTACGGTAAAAGTAAACTTTGTGAAATATCTGAAAAATGCGATTTGTGCGAAAGCAATGTGCTTCAAAAACAAAAAAATAAAAAATTCGAAACACACGAAGCAAGCTATCAAGAAACTATGGGCCAATTATGGTTAAATTGCGTTTTTATTTTTTCTCTCTGATGTTAGGATTTTTTTTAAAAGGACTTTGTATTCAAAGTTTTCTAATCGAAAAATATAGATTTTCAAGAATTCCAAACCATTTCTACGGAAAGTTGTTTTTTCCCATATAAAATACATGGAAAACTTTGAGCGCTTTGAGCGACCTCTAAATATTTTTTGATTTCAAAATAAAAAAAATAAGTGTATATTTTGTCGGTATAGAATAATCGTAGGGGCTGAGAGCATTAAAATTCCAACTTGACTTATTTCGAACCACCCTAATTTAGCTACATATATTTACAAAGTAAGTACGTAAGTATTCGATATTTACTTTCAAGTGCAGTATATAAAATTATGTTCGCCGCAAAACATGTTGCATGTTATCATATTTACAACAACTATATCGATATCTTTATCACTAGGCTGATGGTTCACTGATAAAAAATGCTCTTCCCTTCTCCACTACCCTCTTACATTATGCGCAAGCGTGAGAAAAAGTCCTTAACATTGAGAACTTGCGGCGAATTCAGCGCTGGAATTAGTATACATACTGTTAAGCGAAGTTGTTGAATGCCAACTGTTGTGTTATCGCTAATCAGTGGACAAATTGCGCGCCTTGGCATACCAGTGATAAAATTTAAAAGGCATACATTTCTATACACTTATGCGCCTACTTATTTAGAAGGGGGTCAATTCGTATGTTCAACAGGTAGTTTGGCTTGGCATATTGTCTTTGCAATTTGCAGCTCAATGTACTCAAAAGAAAAGCAACTACATACACTCCAAAAAGTGCATGTAAAACTACTACTAAAAAGTGTTTATTTTTCAACCAAAATCTATGTGAATATACGCACAAGATGTTCAAGATTTGAATTTGAACATGTGATATTGAACACATAAACATGAACTCTTTAAAATTGCAAAAACTTTGAAAGTAAAAATAGATTTTTTACTCATAGTAAACGTTAGGTGCTCACATTTACGCAATTTTAAACACTTTATGTGTAATTTTGACCTTCGCGACAAAACTGGTATGTAAAAGTAAATTGCCTGTGTTAGGTTTTATTACACGGCATATAAATTTGCACACAATAGAGGAGAAAACTGGTTACCTGTCTTTATATATGTAGGATGGGGTAGGAAGGCGCGTAAGAATGACTCGTACTTCCACTCGGGAGTCAGATTTGACCATTGTGAATGCCCTCTGTGAGTAACAGGAGGAGGCACATCCTTCCTACCGTGCTTAATCTATAATGTCGGTATAAAGTCTACCAAACCATTTACTATCCTGCATGAAGCCGTGGATGTTCGACATTTTCACCTCCGCTATCTGCCCTAAGCTATTGAAAAAGCGGGATCCCAAATACTTGAGACGCCTTGTCTGGAGAGCAGGGCATTGACATAAGAAGTGGTGAATCGATTCCTCTTCATCGTCATCCCGACAGCTTCTGCAGAGGGAGCTTGTTGGTATGCGCCATCGATGGAGCTTTGGTGCTATATCATAGTGCCCTGTGGTGAAACCGGTAAGAGCCCTAACTGCAGATTTGTTTAGTGTTAATAGTTCCTCGGTACAACTCTTATTGAGTCTCGGTAACAAGGATCTTGAGACCTCATAGTCATGCGTAAATTTAAACAAACAATTTTTAGAGGAAATTTTATACATTTTATGTAAACTGTGAAATTGTGAACAATAAATGTTTAGAATTCAACAAACAAATTTGAAATTTTTCCGCGCCACACATTAGATAAGTAAAAATAAAAAAGCAGTGTTTAATTTAATTAACATGGTGCGTAAGTTTGCATTCATTAAGAGGGGAAACTGGTTACCTATCTTAATATGCGCAAATTTTAACAAACGATCGGGAAGTTGGAGTAATTGTGGATATGTACATATGTACATAGATACCATTGAATATGTATGTGTGTATGTACATGGGGCTTTTGAGGATGGCTCGAGTGTGTATTTTGTAAAGGGCCAACAATTGACGCTTAAGCTGGTAAGTTTCTAGGCAAAAGTGGAGTTGAAGGACTAACTACTCATTACCTACATACCTATTTGAGTGGGTCTGTAAGTATCGGCCTAAACATACTTGATGGTGGTCATGAACAAGTATTATTGCACATAATTCTTATACATAGTAACGACGTTCAGATGCTCAAAGAAGCGAAAAGCAAAAAGCTGTGAAGGGACTTAGTTGAAATGATGCTAATTTAAATTTAAAAGTATATAATGCATTTTGTAAAATATTTTTTCTTAACCACTCTCAACTGAGATTTCACTTTTACCTTCTGATATCCGAATTCTGTTATGGAAAAGCTTAAACAAATTCCGTTAAATGCGCAAAAACAATATTAAGCGGCCGTATTGAGTCTCAAATATTTATTTTGATAGCACGGTTTTGTTGTGATTATTGTATTTGGGAAAAAATATTGAATACACATTTCGCTTAGAGCAGCAAACGATTTCTCGCTTTGTTCGCGACCCAGAATTTCCTATATTTGCAAACTACTTCCTAGTACTTATGTACTACTTACATACAAAATCTATAAATATATACATACATACATTGGACTACTAATCTAACCATAGATTTTTATTTTTCTATTGCTTTCACGACTTTCCGAACAGCTGTTGTTAATTTCATACTAAAAACGGAATTACTGCATATTCGTCAGCAATCTGTTGTAGCACATAAACCACAAACTAGGCAACTTACCCACGAACAAACCAAAATCTCCCTTACAATGGTTACATACATACATATGTCTTGAGTTGCTTGCATACCAATTACTCCACAACGAACTGTAAACACATACGTATGCATGTATGTACGTACACGACGGGCACTGTGGCTTAGAGGTTAGAGGTGCGTACTACCACTCCGTAGGAGCTGGGTTCGATGCTTGTTCCGAGCCACATATCAATTAAAAACAGTTTTTTCCACCAGCGGTCGCCCCTCGTCAGACAATGACAAACTTCCGTGGGTATTTTTGCCTCAACTTCTCGTAAAATTTTCTTTATAATGTCAGGAAATTGGGGGAGAAGCTTGGCCAAATACCTAGCAAAAGTGTAAGCACCATGTAAGTAGATGCAGTGTTAAAGTTAATACATAATTCGGAGAGGTAAATTGTCAAAAAATTTCCAATTGAAAGGGTATCCAATCAAAAGGATATCAAATCAATCCACGAAAAACATCAAATTAAATTATCAAAGGATTCCATGGTATGAAATTTTGATACTCTAAAATGGAGTGACTAAATGTTTCAATGAAGAATTCAAAGGCATTGTGTGGTTGCATATACAAATCTTTTCATATGAAAAACTATGGGGAGACGCTATAAACATACTGTTGTGATATTGTTAAGCATATGAATTTATAGCTTGTTGGATTTTCAGATAACTTTATGTAAAAACTTTTACAGCTGCATGGATACCAAATCAGGTTTTTGCCACTTTGATGCTTTTTTTGATAAGAAAATCCACCGAAACGGAGGAAAATCGCAAATTCTTCCATTCAAATCAACACGTGAAAAGTATGAATTTTAAACAAAAAACCGTAAACAAACAAACTTAAACTTTAAAATAAAGAAATTGTTTTTACATGAATTGTTTAAATGGAAGCAGCTCACGTACGGTAAACAATAAAACTCCAACACTATGTTGAAAAATTAGAAAAAAGCATAAAATTGATATTGACAAATTTTTATTAAAAATACAAATAGTTCATTCATTAACAGAAACATCAAAGTTTCAAAAATAAGAATATTCAGACCTGTTCTGCATTTCGACTCGACTTGAAAAGTAAAACGACACACATCCCGACTAATTTTTGTGGTGGTGTTCTCAATTCCGATTGAGTTCGAATAAGTTCGAAATCGTTTTCGAATCGTTTTCATTTCGATTCGGTAATAAGTTGCAACAGCTGTTGTCAGTTATTTATTTGTGTAAAAATTAATTCAAATCTGTATAAAACTGAAAAAATGCCATTGCCAATGATTTTTGGGTGTGTCCAGACCAGAAGACTTGCATGCCCAAAACGAAAAAATGCAGCTAAGGATTCATGTGGACATGTTCCAAAAGTTGGACTCCAAGAAAGTTTACCCTTCAATGTAATTTTCTT